ATGGACTCATAGGGATATTAAACAATCTATGGAATAAAGAATTGAAAGCTGCGAATTTGTGTTGATTAGAATGGCAAGACATACGGAATTACAGAATCAGTGTGTGTGGGTTTCCGGTATATAGAAAAATCGAAAGTGTTATTGTTCATGTTAATAAGTAGGTCCAAAAATGGGAGAGAGTTGTTAGCTGCAACTTCCATAGTAAAATTTATAGCTGGGTGCAATGAATTGAGAAAGTTCAAAAGTAGGTTGACTTCTTATAATGTGCCATCAAACGAAACCAAACAATCATCAACATAGCGGTACCAGAAGCAGATTTTATGATGTAGAGTGAAATCAGTTAGCTGATTTTCCAAGTTGTGTAAAAATATTTCTGCCAGCAGTGGGGACAAATTGCTGCCCATTGCTAGACCAGAAACCTGAGAGAATTTATTATTGAACTGGAAAAAGTTTTGTTGTAGTACAGTATCCAGCAGAGAACAAATATTTAGGCAATGGAAAGTAGGTATATCAAACAATAACTGGCGTACTAAAAATATGCAATCTTCAGGGGGAACAGATGGAAAAAGGTTGACAACATCAAATGACAACAAAATTGCATTTGGAGGAATAATGAAATTTTTAATTTCATTAGTGAGATCAAAAGAATTCTTCAATGATAGAGGATTTTCGAAATTGGTAAGATCTTTGATCAACCCATTCAACCAAGAAGCTAGTTTGGAAGTTGGGGAATTACAGTAGGATACCACAGGACGAATTGGTATTCCCTCTTTATGAATCTTAGGAAGAGCAAAAAGTAGAGGAGTGGCTGGATTCATTGGGGTCAATTTAGTTTTTGAAGAATTGTATATTGTTGAAGAATTTCATCGTAGGGTCTGATGTTAAGCTGATGAAACCATCTGTTTCTAGAAACTGAGTGACCTTGACTAGGTAATCTGTTTTATTAGGAATGACAAGACAATTGCCTTTATCAGCCTTGGTAACTACAAGCTCATTTTCTTTAATTTTCTTTGTTGTTTGACAATACCCTTCATATACCATTTTGGGTAGGTATATGAAATGTTCTTTAATAAAACATAGTATACGTTGTCAGGGCACGGGGCCCTTCATTTATTGAGAACCCGTTTATTCAGAATTTTGGAACTCTCGACTATAGGCATTGCCAGTTCAAGGAATAGTAACATTTAATAAAATATTTATTTCATATCCAAGTAAGTCTAGCATAAAATAGGTAATCCTTTCATTTCAATATCATTTGTTTTTGTATTGTAGACTTTTCAATTAGGCTGAAGATGGTCTTTTATAAGGTCGGAACATGAACACGAAATTTGTGGAGATGTCTTCGAGCATTCCTTCCTTTCTTTGAAATAACTGATAAATCCAAATTCGATTGAATTTTCATGAAGCCTGAAGCAAAATAATAATAATCGTTTGTATGAGATTAGCACATTCACTCCATAACAAATTGCAAAGAAATGAGTTCATCTACTGGACTATTTGTTCGATTTCGATGTTCGAGTACACATTCTCTTCAGAAATGAATAGCCTAAGATGACATCGGTACAGGTTGGAAAAAAATCTGATTTTCTTTTTCTCCAGCGGTTTTTGTAAATGACAATACTTTGGTAGAATCCAGCATTTTGTTTTTGTTCATTATGAAATTTTGCGAATATTCCACTGTATACTATAGCCCTCTAGCTATGAAACGATGCCAAGAAATTTGAATTCGGTTGAGAAATGATGAAACCACGAGGAAAATAAAAACTTCCGGTGTTTTTGTGACCACCCGATATATGTATAACATTACCTAATAGTATCTTTGGGGCATCGGAAGAATGAAATATTGTCACGCACATTAGTACCACAACCATCAACACAGCAATAAGAAACGTGAGAAGTCATCACGATAATGTTAAAATCAGCTTATGCGAGGACACAGTGTAAAACTGGTCGGCCGGCCTGGCCGGCTAATGAGGGAACTCCGATGGGCCAGGGACGCGCGATGACAGGAGGGGGATTTCAAGTGCCGAGCGAGAGTGACTGGACTTATTAGAATATTGGTGGACGATGATAGAGTTCTCGAATTTATTCTCTAGCTTCATGGGGAGCACTTTCCCCTTTTTATCGAGTATGAAAATAAATGATTCATGTGAAAATTCAGATGTCTTGACAACTAAAAATATGCAGTCTGCATGATTTTATGCAAAACATAAATGCTTTCCAGAGGGACTAGGGAAAAACTATGAAAACTTTCTGTAGTGTATTTTCATCAGATGAGTTGTTGTTTGTGAAATTCAATGAAAAAAACAGGATTGTTTGTTGAATGAACCAATCCCTACCATATTAGTCCAGTCTGCAAATCATACAAACAGGAACTAAACCATAATAATTCGGGTTGGGTGAAATTAGGTTTTCATTTGCCAGTTGTTTCTCATTGTATATTGAATACTGAGATTTGAGAAAGTTGGTCATTATGTTCGTGTTTGCAAATATAAAATATCCATTGATAATATTATATCAGAAAAATGTAGGAATGGTTGCCAATTTTCTTGTTTGATTTATATTCATCTCAAAGTAGAGTACGAAAAATATTTAAAAATGCCAAAAACATATTATATCATATTACCTGTGGTGTTATTTTTAATTTCATCAGTTGATGCCAGATTCAAATCCAAGTGTACAGCAAGTAGTCAACATTGATAACGTCGTGGTCCAAAATAAAGCCTGAATTCAAAGTAGAATAACTCACGAGTTTCCTTACCGATTTGAAATCAGTTCTCACGATGATTAGCATAATCTCTTGACAGTTTGTTGTGGCAATATGAAACTTCTGTCATTTCAGATAACATTGCTACAGGGTGATTATTGAATTGGTGTGACATTGCATTGTGGTCGTCTTCTTACCGCTTGAACAGATTATTTTTTTCATTTTTTTCTCACCTGTATTCTCTTGATTGATGCTTTTTTTTTGAAACGTTTTCGGAATTTTCAAACCCAGACCTTTGATAATCGTGTTATGAATATGGATGCAAAATGATGCATATTTTCGACGATTAGTCGAATGAAATTGGGATTTGAATTTCTTTTTTGAATAATTAACGTTGTATGTATAGTCGTCGGATATGTGAACAATGCTCAAGCTCGAACACAGAAAGTGATACAAGAAATACTGAATGATGAAATGGGGAGAATAACGTAGTCTTCATGTGTAACTTCATCATGAGGATGTCTGGTATCTGACCTCGAAATGGTTTTTTAATTCCTCGGATCGAAGGTCATATAATGAAGGTACGCATTTTTCATCAAAATCAAGATAAATTAAAAAATTCGAAAAATGTTGATTGTAGTTCCAGAAGTATGAAATTTACATTCATTCTTGACGATGGATATACAAGGTGTGATAAAAATATGTCCAGATTGTCCCGTGATGAAGAAGAATATGTTCAAAGGTGATGAAAATCGCTATGTTCCGAAAAAAAAAAAACATATTGTCGGTCATTGTCGAAAATTGTGAAATATATAAAAACAGTAACTTTTCATGAGGTTTATACGAGGAAATATAAAAGAGACTGCAGAATTGCCATAGAATCTATGGAATGTTCTACATGCTGATGAAGATGAATACAGTAAGTCCTCATGAGGCCTATACGCGGTAATATTGTAACCTACCTTTCTTTTATTTTCAATAATAAACCTACCAAACTGTCAATAAAAATATGATCACATTTGCGGACGGCAGCTCTTCATCAGAGAACAGATAAGTGAGTTCGAGGTAGAACTAGATGTATTCAAATTCAAGTTTTTAAGGGGCGCCACTCAATTTGAAGGAAAGATTTTAATTTGAATAATTGAGAGAACCAAATGCTTCATCTGATAATGAAATTCTGAAAATAAAGGTGTATTAATTTTCTTAGATTGTGTATAGCAGACAAATAGATAAATAAAATGCAGAATTCCTTCAAAACCTATTTAATTCCTGGAAAACAGACATGGCACATTTGGACCTGTGAGGAGGCTAGTGAAATATGTGTCAAGTAATGGAAATGGAGTATCAGACAATTCAAGTAGTATAACTATCAGGACACAAGTTCATGATCTATATAGTAAAAGACAGTTGTAGACCAGTATCTACCAATAATTACCTGGGGAAAAAATTCAAAAAAACACACCAAAGGAGTCAATTGCAAAACCTACAGCTGTCGCATAGCGCTATGAGAGGGCCTTACAGGGGGTTTCACGGTCAAGGTATTGAATGATTGATATTCGAATAAATTCCCTAAAGTATTGAATGATTGATACCTGAATAAATTCCCTAACAAAAACCTGTTATAACCACGGCCTCTTCACAGATCAATATCACCCCGATCACGGTCCATTCCCCAGGATGGACAGCATAGGTCACTGCCAACAGCACCAACACAAAGGGGTCTCCTTCACAAATCTCCCGGGCTGAACTCCGCAGTCTCTCTCCCTGGTATCCCTCCTGGCGCTACCACGGAGTTAAGCACGGCAGATTGGCTTCTGGCACACTCTGGTCGAACCCAGAGGTCTCCGCAGTCTCCTCTAGTCCAGATCCGTGGCATTCATAGTGCCAAAGTACCAGGGCATTCTGACCAGTGGAAAGTGGGGGTCCTCGATGGAGTCAACGACAGCAGAAGAAAAATGCTACTGTTCTAGCATTATCCTACAACCTTGAACAAATCCCCCATAAGGGCTATCGATATAAATCGATTTTTAGTCTTCTTGTGGCACCAGCAAAAATCTTCAAGTGTCTCTCGTCATGGCCAGTTGGCAAAAGCCACGAGACCGGAATTCCCCCCAAAACCTCAATTTCCCCCTAAATCTGACGAAGAAAAAATCCCCAAATCCGTAGTTCTTAACCATGAATGTTTTGGACTTCCCCTCATCTTTTCCAACGGACATTTGGGAATGGCCCAAGCGGAGCTTCTTCCATCTCAGCCCATAACCGCAGAAAAAGTTTAGATAAGGACCAGCCGTACCATACCAATTGGCCTTGTCTTTCGGGCTGAACTTTATGAACTCAAGCCCCTCCTTTTTGAAACTTTCCTTAACGATCTCCATCACTTTTGTGAGAGTAGTTGAGTGCTTTTTCTGGCTAGCGTTCACAGTGAACCCACTCTTCTCTGCTTTTCCCTTAATCCCGTCTCCTGTCCCGTTCGCAGTCTGCCTCAGCACGCTGTATCCTGTGAATAGGATATTTGTTAACTGGGTGCACACATCTAGGTTGTTGAAATCCCCTGCATTTATACCCATGGAGACAAAGAGCTTTATGTAGCTGTTAACTATTGAAGTGATGCACTTGATTTTCTGTCCTTCGTCTATCTCAATTCCTGGCTTCCTTGCACTGCCTACTTCACGATTCTTGTCATCAGGATCCACTATTATTGTAGGATCATTCTTCCTATTCACAGCAGCTGACGTCGAGGGTGCGGAAGTGGATGTGTCCATGGGAACCGCGGGCTCCGAATCTGATGACATCGTTGGAATCTGTTTCACTGTGTTTTATTGCAAAGGCGGTCTGTTTCTACTACAAAAATTATTCAGAAAATTCAAACGCTACAATATGAAAGAGATTTCAGAATTGCCATATATTCGTGCATACTTATTACCATTGCATCTTATACTGATCTACCACCTACAATATGGTCTTCAGAATGACAATTTGCTCATAGTCAGTCATCCAGTGTGGAGTTGAATGGAGATAGAGAGCACTGAAAAACAGTACGCATCAACAAATCAGACACCCAGGGGGATGCAGCCACGCAGTCAAATGGTCAAATGTGGGGGACGTGTGTACAGGAACAAGTAGATACTAGGTATAATACCAAAGCAATGGTCTTTTAAATTGAATATCTTTTATTTTATTACGAAATATTCGATGACATTTACTTTCAAAATATTCAGATTATTCTAGACAATGTCAAAATTCATTATTCAAATAAAAATCTACCTTGACAACCTAAAACTTCTAGATCCTCCAGATTGCTGGTACAGGGTGATGCAAAACTAACACGAACAAAACCGAAGCAAACCTCTACATCAAACATGGACAAACCAGGGACTGTTTGACTATACAGCATGATTTGATGGTAGCTGATAGGTAGCTCAAGAACGAAGAGGAGGAACTTAGGGATGCCACGAGTTGCCACAAGTTGTGGATACACTCAACTACCTTCATTGAGACGACTTTTGAACGAATGAACCAAGATGTTGTGCCGTCACCACAGCAACTGCCAACAGCCAGCATTTCCTCTCATTCAGCTGTTACCTACCTTGAAGAAATCTTCAATTCCGGAAGATTTCACCCTCATTTCCATGACGATTGAAGGATAGCATGACCATTAGTCGTCATTCGCTTCTCCAAGAAGCCAGAAGTTTTCTTCCTTCAGCTGCCGAATACCTTGACGGACAGTCTGGTCATAACCAATCGTCATTCCCTACCCCCGGGCTGCCAGGAGTCCCACCGAGAAGAGTGTAATTGAAATGCTTCAGTTGTATAGCCAGTGCCGGACTAAGTTGAGGTGTGAGTGTGCATTGTAGATACTAAACTTTGAATGTTTGTGGATACAATTTCGCTTAAAGTTTTCGTACATGTAAATAAATGTTAAATGTTTACCTTGATAATTTAGGCTCTAGGTAGCAATTTCAAAGCTGGAGTCTTGTTTCCTCGTAGAGGGAGATCATTTTGAGTAGAAAATACGGTTTATTAGTAATTTCGAACCATTGTGGCGTAACTTCACAAAAAGAAATCAAAGCCTCAATGCACTGTGGCCTTCATAGCCGTAGAGCGGTCGTGGGATTCTGAGAAAATGATTTTTCATTGTGTTTTCGAGATATTATATAAATATATGTGAAGCAAACTATGGGCGCCATTTATAGTCAACTGAGAAGAATTAGGATAGGACAGAACAAAACTATCAAACTATACCTTTTTAAAATCAGTCATTTAAATTTATTACCCGAATGATGTTGGTTAGAAGTGCCTACACGCAGTGTGTAATAAGTCAGTATGTTTTACTACAAATGATGTTAATGAAATGACTGATAGTGAAGATTGAATTTTAATTCAATAGATCACTTAATGTTTCAGTGTTAGTTAACTTTGATTGATGAATAGGTGAGTATTTCAACTCTATTCCAGGCTATGCCAAGAGATATAATATTAGTGAAATTAAATCTATGACAGCCTCACTGGGAATAGCAAGTGATAATAATTAGTCACTAGGTGACTGAGAATAATATATGTGAAAATAACTAGGTTTCCTATGGAAGGAAATAATAGCTGTTATTCCATTTCTCACAAATAGGAGAATACTTATTACAAGGTAAACAGAGTAAGATGCTAGTGAAGATCTATGTCTTCAACTCCTCAATGGTCATCAAAAATTACATCACAAGTATTACTCACTGAGGGTCATCCATCATAATACTCTTACTCAAAATTAACCATCAATTGCATGGGTAGCTTCCTCATTCTCCATAAATTGCATCAGCAAATTGAATATCCATTTCAACAGCATTCAATCTGCTCCATAACATTATATACATGGTCTACAAACATAAACAAACAGGCAGCAAACTCCAACAGTTGACAAATACTTGTTATTGCCCCATTAGCAATAATATGAGTTGAAACTTGGGACGCATCGAACCATAAATCCCAATTGTGAGATGTAAATCACATATTATAACCAAAACATCCAACATCCACGGGTTAGGTAATTATTCACCCTTTCGTGGGCGCAAAATTGAGTGTGAGATTTCAGAGACAATTTTGACGCCAAAAATTTTAGTACAGGTTGAATAAACCAGAAAACATCATATAATAATTTTACATGTACAGGGTGGATTTTTAGGCGAAGTGGAATGATATATTCCCAGTGCCCACTTAGGACGAAAAAAAAAAAGGATATTTATTTTCGAATTTATATTGAATGGTGATTATAATGACTATAATAGTTGGAAATGGCATATGATATACGAGTAACATTTTTTTTTTCATGAAATTTCCTGAAACAAGGATCAAGGCACAAGGGTACATTGCATCCAGAACACAAGATGCGTGTTTTTTTCTCAAGATGTCCTGTCAAACATAACCTGCATCCACGGATCGTTTTATTAGGTAGGTGTTCTCCTACTCCTGCCAGCCTCACTCCATCTGGTACTCTTCTTCAATTTCACAAAAAAAGGTACAGCTCCATTCCTCCTTTTCGGGACGAAAAGTTTCTAAACAATTGCCTAGCTGAATTGATTCGTAATGTGAGCTGTTCAGCTCTTGGAGTCTGCTTATCAACTTCCATTAGTATGAATGCATTGATGATTGCCATATCCAAGTAATAATAGAAGAGTCTGTGCCACCATTTGGTACTCCGTCTTTCAAATTCATAGCATTCACTTAGCTGATCAAAGCGATCAACACCTCCCATTATTCAATTATATCTAAAAACAACTCAACTTAGACCCATTGTGAGTTTTACGAAGTACCGAACTGGTATTTTTGCTGCTCTCACTGAGTTGTTATCAAAACATTGTAGTGCTATTGAGAATATAAACTATCACGTAAAGTCGAAACTACAAAAAAAAAATTGAAAATAATAAACCGAATTCTGCATTCAGGGATTCTAGTTTTTTGGTTCAAACTAGAAGTGATAGATGTTCTTTATGTAAACAAGAGCATCTTTCATTTTGGTGTCCGGAATTTCTGAGTAAATCTCCAAGTGAGAGATATCAAGTAGTTAAACATCATAAATGTTGTGTCAACTGTTTGAGTAATTCGCATTCCTCCAACAGGTGCAACAGTACAGTAAAATGTTACAAATGTGATAAGTCACATCATAAAATACTTCATTTTGAAAACCCTACTGATCGCCCACTAGAGTCAGTTCAGCTTCATCTTCAGCAGCTGCTACTAACAGAGGTTCAACTATGACCTCTAATAGTTCAAATACTAATTCCTATCCCTCCGTTCAGACAGTATTCCTTTCTTATCATTTTCGGCCCTGAATATCAATTTTCTTGATTTTATTGAAATATTATATTATTTCAGTTATTTATAGATTGAATAAAAGGTTCTCAGGCTTCAAACTTTCATTTTCGCGAAAGGGGATGATTCAACCCCTGGTACATATTTTTACCATCAAAAATAATGATCACATACGGAATATCAGTGAGTATGAAATATCATGAAACAATTTCTGCATAAAGGTAGGTTACATAGGGTTTTGATCCTTGTCTGCTGCTTTTCTTGAGAACATCTGAAACACCTCCTTCGGGTTTGCCCCTCCACAGGAAGATGCAAAGGAGTCGGTCCAAAAAGTTTCCTTTTTTTAGAAGGCGGTCTACTTTTTGGTGTTGGCAGGCTTGTGTTTCTCATGCCCTCCGCTATAAGTTCTTCAGTAAGCGTAACGAGAAATGAAAGAAAAGGAATTGTATCTTCTTTGCATCTCATCTGATTGTATATTATCCATGAATTTACAGCACACATACTTAGACAGGTGCTGAAAACTTTCTTCCACCATTTGGTAGATTTCCTATCATGGTCATATAAACCAATGAATTGATCGGCACAATCGACCTCTCCCATTATTTTACGGTAAAATGCGATAGACACTCGATCTCTTCTTGTTCGCCAGTTTTTGTTTTCTCAGTGATCCTTGTCGATTTTGCTTCATGACAGTTACTCATAAGAAGCACTTCTTCAGTATCTTGCCATTTCACACACAATAATCCTGTATTAGTTCATCGGAATTCGGACTGCCCTTTTTTCAGCTTATTACTTCCAAAGGATGGCACATTTTTTCGATTGCTCATGCAAGTACCAAAGGCGGCATAGTTTATTGTTTCCAGAAGGTTGACACTTGTGAAAAATCGGTCAGAACAGATTACTACATCATTTTCTTTTATAGTTGCAGCTAATGATTTCATAACCCTTTCGCCAAGAGTGGTTGTCGTATTTGTAGAAACGGTATTCTCTTTACCAGAATACACATCGTAGGTATACCCAGAATCGGCATCGCAACGTAGCCATAACTTTATGCCTCTTTCAGTTGGTTTGACCGGCATATACTGCTTGAGTGCCGATCGTCCCTTGAATTTTGTCATAGATTCGTCTGTGCTTTGATAAACGCTATCTCCACGGCAGTTGGTAAATGTGTGCTTGAGGCGGGCTATTATCTCATCTATATAATAAGCTCTCGGTGCATTCAGAGGTTTTTCAGGAGGGGCAGAATAAAGTTTTGATACTAACAACATAAATCTGTCGCGATAAATTGCATTTTCAATGATTCGATTTCCCATTGACTCCCTTTGACTTCAGTAATGCCTAAGTGCCGGTAGTTTATTGCACGACATGATGAAGATACAACCAATAAGTTTCTGAATTTCCCCTTTATCTGTCTTCTTTTCCTTTTTCATCTTAGTATTGTTCAAAATTTCCAGGCGCTGATTAGTGCAGTCCACAATCTGTAGGTATAATGAAT